ATTCTGTTAGAACACTTATCTTACCAAGATACTAGGGTTAAAGAAAATCTGAGTGGCATGGACAAAATAGGGAATGGCTGTTTGGTATCTCTTGCAGTACAAGAATTAGGAGGAATTACATTATAATAGCAGGTAGCAGGTTCAAGCAAACAAAAAGAGGTGTTTTCTCAACAACTGACAGAGGCTGTTTTTTTTGTTAAAAGTTTACATTGATCCTAAAAGTGACTGGAGAGTTTTATGAAAAAGATGCAGTGAAGGCCATTAAATACAGAGGTAACATCTTCTGTCTTGAGCTACAGATCAGTAAAGGCTGGGAGAACATTGTGGTATAATGTTAGTCGTATTATGTGGAAATCACAAAGGGTGGTGTTCTGCATACATGGAACTACAGAATATACCTGAAGATGAAATGGTCTAGCAACATTAAAGGCATTTCACAAGATTAATTAATACCATTCATTTCATAATATTAATTAATATTAAAACGCCTCTTTAAGTAATGGAATCTGGTTTAATTTGTGTTCTTTTGTGTCAGCAAAGTATTTTGGTGTCTATTAAAAAATCCTGGATTCCTAGAATACAGAAACAAAAAATTAACAGTCCTTAGACATACATGCTTTTTGTATAGGTTAGATTAGAATTGCACTCATATCAAATATCCAGTCTTCAAGTACTGAGATAAATGTTTTATACCCTCATTTGCCCCACTAAAATTAATATGTATGTTTTGAATTATTCATATAAAACAGAAACCAACTCATTTTCCAAATGAAAATATCATCTGTACAGATTTTGCTATTAGATCAAACATAATCAACTTGTTAAAAAATACTAGTGCTGCTAACTTTTCTTTTCTCTTTCTCACCCTTCCCTCTCCTCCTACTCTTAAAAGACCATCCTGTTTTCTTTACAGATCATGCCACTACAAACGGTTTCAGTTCTGTACCTGTTCCTTTGCATTTGCAAATACTTTATGCTTTTCAAATCCTACTGAAACTTCTTTCATGTTCAACTCTGTGAAAGCCTTATTTCTTAATCATTGCATGTTCTAAGCACACAACCTGAATTAATCCTTTTCCTGTTTTTGTTATGTAATGACATGGGTAGATCCAATGGTGAACAATCACAAATACCATGAAAAAGGGAGCTGAGGGTCACACAAAATGTTTAATCTTTATTGCTAAAATAGGCTGAAAAACAGGTGAAAAGAAGAGAAAGTATAGGAGTCAGAAGTGTCCTTTCTGTGAAGAGCCTCTTGAACTGCTATTCATCTGCCTGATTTGCTGTCCACTGTGAGACAGTGGACATTTTACTACTTAAACCTGTAAGAATGTTTAGTACTACTAATAAAGTATGTTTAGAACTTACTAAACTGATTAGAACCTTGGATTAGCACAATGAAGTTTGAAATAAATGTTTGTATAATTCTGGCAAGTAGGGAATTTGATATTTCCTAATTTTCATGCTATAAAAAGGGTCTTAGTAGTTTTCTTACCTCTAAAAAAGTAAGAATTGTCTTCCCAATATGTGAATGAAATATCTTTCACTTATATCTGTGAAGTAGGAGAGACAGATGTGGAATCTGAAAATGTGAAGTGGATTTCAAGAGACTCATCTCAGCATTATCTTGTCCCCCCTGCAATGCTAACAAAGATTTTCATAAACTCAGTTCATTTCCTCGGTGAGTAGTGTGTACCCTTCTCTGAAAAGCCACAGAACTATAAAACGTGGCAGTGAGTTCCCCAATCATCTTCAGAAGATCATATCCACCTAGAAAATGAACACAAAAGCCCAAACTGTGGGAACTGAAGAATTAGAACAGTCATGCTTTTGGAACACATTGGCCTTAATTTACTCTTCAGTTTTTGTCACCGAGAGTTTTCTAGATTGAGCATGATATCAAGACTGGATTTAACTTTTAGAAATGGTGAAATGCACCTTTTTGCCTTTCCATTCACACCTGCTGCTGTAAGCACTCGTCTTTCCTTACAAAATTAAAAATGTCCATTATCTGGAAGTAATGCAGTTATGCAGAAATACAGGCTTGGTATTGGCAAACCATAGCTGAAATTCTGTGGAATATCAATAAAATTAATATGAAATTTGATTCCTGAGTAGTAAGCAAATCTGGATATGAATTCACTGTGAAGGTCTTGGCTACTAAGTAGCTTTGAAAGTAGTAGTCAGGGAGGCTGATGTTTGTCAAGTAATTGTTGAATGTTATGCATTCAGTAAGCAGATATTTTATGGAGGAAGTTTTAAATTACATTTTATGATAACAACTTGTTGAAGGTTTATGGAGACAGCATGGCTAATTTTATACACATTATTTGGAGAGCATCATCATGGAAGCAATGAACGAACATAATTTCCTTTTCCAAGGAAAATGGTTGCTGCAGTAGAGATAAGAGGTTGCAATTATAATGACAAGCAATTGAGATGATTTGAAGGGAATGTATTCAAAGTTAAATATTTCTGAAGTTTCTGTATTTTACGTATGTGAACTGTGGAAGTACTTCCCGAGCTTGCCTTTTCTCCATAATTAGAAGCAGGTTACATTGCTTCTGGTTGATAAGCCATTAGTTATTATTACGGTGTTAAATTTGCCCTTGTACCAAATGACCCAAAGGGGGAAAGCTGTCTGTTTGATTACAATAATAATAGCTTTTAACAATTGGATTTACTTAGCTAGATGTTAATTGATACACTTACAACCTTCTGCAAAAAGAGTTTGTGAATGTTACACAAGACTGCAGGGAGCTGCAGGCAAAAATTAGAAGACATCTGGTGAATTAAGGGTTATGAACTGCCAAGTTCTATTGAAGGAAAACTACATTTCAAAAAACGTCTCAGTCAGTGCTGAACATTAAAAAGCATTATGCAAAGTTTAATTGTGGATAGTGGTGTGAACCATCTCTTTATTGTGTAGTTTCAATTTTCACGAGAAGGAAAATATAGGTGGTCTGAAAAAATTAAGATCTGTTATAAATGAGAAGTTGGAGTTCATTCCTTATTTTCCATTGCTCTCTTGCTTTCCTTGGGGCTGAAGAGTGGAGAGATATCTGGAGGGTGTGCATGGTTATGAAATCAAAAATTTAGAAACTTGAAGGAAAGAAGTTTCTGTGTCCAATAATCTTTCAAGAAAAACAAATAACTGATGCACTGAAATTTGACAACTGGGATATCCCCAACTTTGTGTAAGGCGATAAATAACATTTTAAGTAGACAGCTATTTGCAATTTCACTTAAGCAGAGCAGTGTTTTAATCCGAGATACACAGGTTTCTGATCCTTTTCCCTCCCCCACAACCTTTCTATCATCTTACTTAACTGTAACCAGTTTTGACCTGTCCCACTCCAAGTACAAGAAAACTTAATCACCATTAATTGCTGGTCTGTATATTGGTCAGGAGGAATATCCATTTAGCTATGGAAACACAGTTAGGTGGCTAACACACTCTTCCATGAGAGAAGAATGGCTTCTGCATGCATCTGGTTGACTAGGCTCAAGTGTAATTCCGAGAGTCTTCCTTAGGCATGAGTATTACATATTGCCAAGAAAAAAATTACAAGGGAGCTTAAAGTAAACAATTGCATTACATATGTCTGTAATTCTAAGTAGTATGAGCCACAGCAATAGTAACACAAGAATTTACCTGGAGAGGGAGTATTTTTCACCTGTGTATCACATGGGAATGCTTAAATCTTAATGGATAATATTTTCTGTGTACTTTCTGATGTAAAGTAAAAACCAAAACTTTACAAAATTGAATTAGATGTCCATTATAGCACATCTGGTGCTACACCTACAATATATGTAGTACAGTTGAAATACCATAGTTCAGAAAGTTTATCATCCCTCATGTACTAAGTTTATAGTTTACAATTACTATTTCTGAACCTCCATTTCTTCATGTTAGATCAGGCTGCTAGCTTTTCTAAACAGGCTTAATAATAGTGTGTATTTTAAAAATGCCTCTGGTTAGTAGCGAATGGCACATTTGTTCCCATTTACATGTATAGAATTTCTCTCAGTCTCAGCACTGGGTTCCCAAAGAAGGCAAAAGCAATGCTATGCACAGGAGTCGCAGCAGAGGAGGGAAAGATATGTTCCCACTTTAGAACACCTCAGACTCTGCCATAGCAACTTCCCCACTGATTAAGTCCCTGAAAATGGCTAATAACAGTTGTTACAGGAGACGCTTGTAATACTGTGTCATGTGCTAAAAAGGTCTGATCCAACCAAGCACCCTGTATCCTTGTGTCTTTTTGAACTTGACGTGAAACGGTGGTGCTAATTGTATATCCGGTGTGTTGGTAGACTGAAAATACGACAATTTGGTTTGCAAATTACTATTACTATAACTAGTGATTAAATCAGCGTTGGAAACTGCTAGGCCAATGCTTTGTTACGCACTTGGTCTGCATGAGAACATGAGGACTATGATGGGTCGTAAAAAAATCTGCAAATTATATTGTACAAAGCAATGCTAGTCATATCTTTTGTGTGGTGTGTGTATGATTACATACAGTTTCTAGCAGTGATCTTACTATTAGTTTCTCCAGAATAAGAAAAAAAATGAATGGGCAGATATTGGCTAAAGCATTTAGAAAAGAATTGCCCCTTGGCCATGCTTCTGTAAGTACTGGTTTTCCAGACTATTGATCCATACCTTTACTTATTTTGAGAAATCAGATTTTTATTTTCGGTGGAATACTTTCAGTGAAGTACTGCTCCATTGGAGCTGATGGTAAAATTCTCACTGGCTTCAGTGAAATCAGGATTTAAGTGTAAGCCACATACTACAGCTCTCATTCGCTTCCCTACAACTACAATCCAACATTTGAAAACAAGACTACCTGAAGGCCCCTTGCTAAGGCTATGGAAGGGTGATTTCCATTGTAAGTAAAAAATTGGCTCACAAGGTCTTGAACTCCAGTATCTTGTTTTATACCAAGCAGTCCTATTTTGGTGTAGTCAAGAATTATGGTATGCACACATTTATAGTGTTTAGTATCTTTAATTGGCATTTCTAAAAATAGTTTCATTTGCAGTTATTTCTTTAAAATGATTTGTTAAAAATATTTTATTATAACTGTACAGTTCTAATGTGATCTTCATTTCTGTGTTTGCTCTCATCACTGATGATGTTCACTACTAGCATTTGGAGATTTGGTGGTAAGTCTGTAAATTCTGCTGTTCTTCACTTCTGTATCAGCAGTAGGCTCACTGTACCTTCTTAAAGACCTGCTTACACTTGACTCCACACACTCTTATTTCCTAGGAAGAGAAAATAATTTAAAAATACAACTTTTACATAGGATGCATGCATTATACGTTAAAGTGTATTATGTCCAGCTTAATTTGAATCCACAATTTTCTATCAAATTAGATTGTACATATTTTAGCCTATTTTTAATCCTAAAAGAAACCCGCTGGTTTGAGTTTGTTTTCTGGTGAAAGCTGGATTAAGAGAAGTTATTTTGGGATCTCAGATCTTAAAGGACCAAATATGTTCCTGGTGCATTATTCTCTATTTGCAGTGTGTGCAATTGCTTAGGTCTTCGAAACGGGCATTTTTTATTTTGGACAGATAAAGAAGTTATTTGGGGATGGATCTGAATAACCAGTTCTGAATCTGTATGTTGATGACTGGTAGTTCAAACCTACAAAACCAGAAATCAGCTGAAAGCCCACTCTAGCAACACAATGTTCATGGCTAGAAAAGGACAGGTAGTTGTGTACACAAGATTTGATCTAGGTCTATAAATCACAGCACAGCAGTGAGTTTTGACTGAACTTGACCATACTGCATGCCTAATGCTGTCTACTGTTCCTTTGTGTTCCATAAGAGCTTTTAAAAAATCTACTTGCTAGTCATTGGATCATCGTGAACTGTGCATAAGCAGGTGCAATGATGTTTACAGCTTGGGCACTGATTTGTGAGGCCTACAGTTGTTTACCTAATCTCACTGAAGACGCAGTTTAATCTTCTCCATTACTGAAACTACTGAAGTTAGACCTGAGAAGTGCACACAGTATGTGTGGGGATCTGTGGAGGTGTTGACTGGTGTTGGTGGAAGAAGAAGAAAGGGTGGAACTTCTTAAAGGACATAAAGACAAAGGTTATGTATGACCTAGCAGAAGGGATGTACTTTCTATTTCAAGGTAAAACTTTTAATAAAGCTGTCAGAATATTTTGAGGAAACAGGAGGCAGAGTTTCTGTGCTGGTTTTAGCACGACAGTTTCCTTGGAAGTTATGCATATTTTCTTATGGGGGACTTTGATAAAATGACATACTAAAAAAACCTTACACTGAGTCAATAACCTTTTTGGCATATGTTGCTAGTCCCTAGTAAGAGAAAGTGCTTCATGATGAATTGATGAAACAAGCAGACTGATACAGTGATCTTAGTTAGGATCTGTTTTGTTCACTTCTATGTAGGTAACCTGGAAGAAGGCGTGTGCAATAAGGGCTAAGAGATCTGCTGGCAGTGACAAAAACCTACAGAGCAGAAGCAATCAATACAATAGAAAAGGGCAATAAAGCTCAAAAGAAAATGGAGAATGGTCAAATAAGTCACTCACATAAAATAGAATCTAAGGAGGAAAAAGAACTACAAAGTACAGACCATAGAATGAAATGGAGAAAATAGGAGGCGAGAACTACTAAAGGATGTGGGACTACTCTCTACAGAACTGTGGAAAGAATTAAATTAACACTTGGCTCATTGTGTAAAGTTCAATAGGATCATAAAGCTATCGAAGTATCAATTTTTTAGCGGTAACTGCCCATTGTACCAAAGGACTCTCAAGAGTACAGGACCTAGTAATCTTAGCTGGTCAAAAATAAGATACTAAATGGGACTCTTTTACTGTATGTTTAATGGAGAGAGTTACATTAACAAGGATTCAGAGAAATAAAGACGACATCTTTTGAAGTTCATGAAATATAAAAAGTGATGAAATTGAAATACTGGGGACTGGCCTCTAAAATACTTGGTTACTTCCTTTGCATGAAGTAATTTTGTACTGACTGTTGTGTACATGAGAGACAGATTGTGATAAATGGTACAAGTGCCAGTGAGTGCATGGATGCCTGCATGAGCTGGCAGGTATGATACAGCCTTCTGAAAAAGCAGCCTCAGATCAGTCAGGTTACCTTGGGGTACCTAAAGTGGCACTCAACACCTATGTTTGAGCAACTGAATCTGAATTTATGACTTCTAAAATCAAGCTCTTGACAGGGTCAAGTATAGAAAGTGGTCTGGCCTGGAGGTCCATGGCTAGGTTGTATGGCTAGAGCATGAATCAGAGTAAGGATAGCAGAAATCTGGGCTAAAGAAATTGGTGTTGGGGACAAAAAATGGGAAGAGATAATGACTGCGGAGCTGAGAAGGGACAGAAACCAGGATGCTGATACAGAGAAATCCAAGAGCAACCAGTGCTATTGCTTCATATATGTGCAGATGAGTGCACGTATGTGTATGAGTGCAGGAAGGTGTAAGCTGAACTTCTAGGCCAGACATTGTATGGCTAATTACAACCTGTTTGCCCACAGAGAATCTGAAAGGGCTGATGCTTGGTGTCATGGCACCATGAAGCTGGGAGGTAGTGTGGAAATACTGTAGTGTGTTTGTGTATAGATAGAGGGAATATGTATACACAGGAAATTCTGGAGTCTCCTTTTTATTGCTTCCCCCCTACTTTCAGTGAGTCCATGGCCTCAGCTATAAAGTGATCACTTACTTACTTACACAGTAACTTTCTCCCTACCTGCATTATATCAAGTATGTAGTCCAGATGGTAAGACCTGTCATATACATTCCTTTCCCAAACTGGTTTCTGGGACTTCCAGTACTTCCTGAAAATTGTGTTTAGTAATAAGGGGTTTGGGGTACTTTTGCAAAGATTTCATAACTCTGCTACAGATTTGATTATTTAGAGAACATCCACTTAGACTGCTGAATGCTAATAGTACTGAACAATGAACAGAAATGGAGGTTGGATTTTATTATCTCAGCAGGAAGACTGCCTTTTACCCACACTGATGAGAGAGTGAGGACGCTATAAAGAGCTATGTGAGAAAAGAACAGGCATCCTTTTTCAGGTCCTGTTAACTTAGAAAGGTAAAAATGATGATCTGAAAGAACATGACATTTCAAAAACTTAATTGCTGTTTTAGTTCTCTAGGCTATAATGCAGTCTGGCCTGTAATTATTTTAGAAGAACAATGGTGTATTTTCCCTTTATGGCTTATTGTTGGATGCATAATTTCACCAGCTCCCATACTGCGAATTTCACAGACTGCATGAAGGACATTCTGTTAAATGTCTTCCTCAGTGTAGACGTTTCAAACTGGTATGTCTGGACAGACAGTTAACACAGAAAGAGTACTGCTCTGAAATCAGGCAGTCTTTGTAAGGGACATAAAAGCATAATGGCTCCAAATGAAATTGTTGCTTTAGAAACAAGTCAAATGCTGCACCAATACATAATTATGTCAAAATAAGCCAAGATAACATAGCACACAGCCTGCTGCATTACATCTAACCATTTTAACAGAGTGGCATTTAAAACCTGTTACATGATCTTACCAGATGCATTTCATCTCCTTCAATCCACTGGGTCCAACCACGACCTTCTTTTTCTCCATTCTGCACACAAAGCAGCTTATCTCCATCCCAAGATACGGTGGTCTAACAAAATAGACATATTCAGCGTTACTGTAGTATTCTGTGATATAATGATTAGTTTCCTTAAAGCAAAACTTCTCTCTAATATAATAAATGATTAATGTATCTCATAGGAAGAATAACTGTAGAGTGTTGTAACACTTAGGATAATTAACAAAAGAAATGAGCTTGAATAGAAAGTTGCTGCCCAACTGCCTGTTAAAACCTGGAAGGATGAGATAAAGCTGTTTAAATACAAGAAAAAATATCATAAAAATCATTGTGTAAGACTGCACTCCTCTCTCCCTGCTAACAAATATGGCAGCAGAAGGGATGTGCAGCCTCACACTATTTGCAAAAGGAGCTGAAAACTTGATATTGTTTTTTCCACCATAAGAAGGATTGCCCAGCTGCTCTACCTGAAAAAACTACCCACCTACTGGCAGCTATGGATGAACAAGGCTTTTAAATCCTGAGCTGTTTTTTCCCCATGTCTTAATCTGCCTTCCATCATCAGCAGCAAATTGGTAACTTTGCCAGCATCCTCCTTTGTGTAACTGTGGCTGGAGAACTACTTGAGCCAGGATTGGCAGAATAAGAGTGAGAGGAAGGTGTTGCAGGATTCAACATAGCACTTTTGTGAATATTGGTGCTGTCCTGAGTAGTTCAGTAGAACTTGATTCATAAAACTACTTAAATCTATGAGGGTGCATCCTACAGCTTGTTACTCTGGTTAGTCTTTACTGACAATTTGCCTTTCACGCCTCCGTAAGATAAAGAGAAGCAATATTCTGCAAAATATTTAAAGAGGGAAGGGGTACAGCAGTGACAATTTGTGCTCCATGAGGATAGTTTAACATCAATATTAGCACATGGCTTTTAAACCAGCTTGTTTGAAGTGAATCTGAGGACTAAATGTGGAATTACTGTCTACCTTGTAAAAGTCTCCAGCCACTGCCTGTATGAGTAGTCAAATATGGAGAGAAGATGAATTCTGATCTATCATTAAAGGAAAACTTACTGCATCCATGCTGTGTAGTTTCTAAGAAAAGAAGTCAGCCTACATTTGTCATTCTGGGAACTAAAACCAGTTGAACATTCAAGAACTACACAGCCCTATTTATTTAATTTGTGTATGTCACAAACAATTAATTCTTAAATGATAACCATGATAGCCACTATCTTTAAATGAGTACAGCCAGCAGTCTCCACCCCTGGGAAGCTTTAGACTAAACAAGCATGGAAAATGAATCACCAGAAAGAGTGCCAGCATAGATAATCATAGGGACGGCATTGTTATTGATCCCATATAGTCTGTTTGCACCATATGGGGTCTCTGAAAGACAAACTCGTGTCCTTGCTAAAAATCTCTCTGATTTGGAAAATGCATTCACAAATTCTTCTATTCACTCTTGTAAAATGACGTATTTAAACCAAGTAGCAGATAACATTTTTAAAAAGCCATATCCTTTTAATGTATAAAATGCTAATGCAGGAAGTAACAAAACATTTGGGTAAAGCTGTAGTTAATGTGGTCATCATAGTTTAAATCCTCTTCCATATCTGTTTTGAATCTGTAGATGTCCAGTTGGAGATAGAAGATAACAAATTATACTAGTCAAAGTTAAAAATGTTTAATTTATAAGTTAACATATCTAAGAATTTCTGATGATTCCAAAAAATGAATATATCAGAAAATGAACATTATTTCTACTGATGACTTGTAGATGTGAGGGATACTGTGGAATGAAGCATTTGTATATGCAACTTTGCTTAGTAACCGCACTTATATTTATCCATTATTAGCTCAGCATAGTTTAATCATTAGACTAGCTTAATAGTTAAATTCTGTGGGTTTATATGTGAATTCAGAGGCAATATACCATGATAAAGTAAGATCCAACTTTATTAGTTCTGCTAATGTTCAAAGTCAGTTGTGGAAGTTATTAGTCTTGATAATATTCACTAGCTTAGTACACTTGGGGGCAATTGAGAAATGTTTGTAGCAGTGCAAGGAAATGTTAACTTTTTTGGCCTCCAAGGGTGATTGAAATTGTTTCATCTCAGAAAGCAACACACTTTTTTCTCTGTCTTTCTTATGTTTCCAATCAAGATTAGATATTGCTTTTGGCAATTTGGTGATAACCACAGAGAGTTTAATACCACAGACCGTTAACCAAGCTGTTTTATCAGCCAATATTCTCGGTTATCATCCTCTGCCTTCCCTTTGAGAAATATAAATACTGAAGAGATATGAGTAAACCATACAGTTTCTGATTTTTGTATGTGGCTATTTTGCTGTGAAGGTTATATAGGGCAGAATATATTGCAGGAGAACATAATGTCCTCTTTGTTAGCAGGAACAACCAGTTTATCACAGTAAGATTAATCAGTAGCATTTTAATCTTTTCTTTCTTCAGGTCAAACTGTAATGTCTCATATAATAAAAGACACAACTAATACAGAAGATAGAAACTTCTCTTTTAATTATGATTTAAGAAGGATTAAACAATGGAAAGTAATTGTTTAGGTCAGATGACACAGGAAAATCCAATTTGAGCTGTGTCCTGTATTGTGTTTAAAAATAACACCAAAGAAAACATCCCCGAATTTTTGGTCAAACATGGCAATATATCCAACAAGATATTTAATAGCTTCTCAAGATAAAGCATTTTCATTAGTACTAAGTATCAAAGTGATATAAAAACCTCTGGTAAGCAGTCTGCAGGGGAAATTTTCATCAAATGAAGTGCTGATGCAATAAACTAATGTTGATATCACAGACAAAATCTAATGTAACTGTGAAGGGGCATTCTGTAATGTTGTAGTCACTACCTATGACCTTCTGTGTAGGAGGCATGCTGCACACTGCTAACAGGAGGGCTACAACCATGTTCAGGGTTTGTCATCTCTCCGTCCTTTAACTCTTTTTATCTCATCAAATCTGCATCTGGCAGTTGGTGACAGACAGATAAACTACTGAGGAAACAACAACAAACCCAACAGAAAAATTAGTGGTAGGATTCCTGACTTTATCTCAAGATACTGTTGCTGGACAAAGGCTATACATATTTAGCCATCCTGTAGCTAGGTCAAATGATAAAGTCTTTTTCTTTTAAGCCTTTCCTTCCCTTACTAACTTCCGTTCAACCCTGTAGAAGCACTCATCATTCCTGTTTTTAGCCATGCAGCAACAGAACTCCCGAAGTTAACTCATAGGAAATGGCTGGTAGTACAATACAACTCATTTCTCAGCTGTTTGTGGGGCTGGCAGATGTGATGTCTCATAATAGGCATCTATAGCTACAGGACTCTGCAACATGTTCATGCCATTACAAACTTGCTCAGATTGTTATTGAAAGACAAGCTGGTTATAATGTGGGCATTCTGTACCTGACTGATAAGCTTCCTGAAGTTCACTGTAGCCAAAAGATGAGACACTTCCAGAAGCAGTATTTTGCTTTTATGATTGTCAGCATCTCCATTGCTAGCAAGGGGCTTAGGATTTGATTCACAAATTTTAGATCAAAGGGTAAGCTGCTGTCAGATAGGATCAGATGTTAACTGTTCAAATCCCTTATTTTGAATCCTTGCTCGTAAGAGCAATGAAGGAAAGCAATGACTAGAGACATGTTCCAGGGAGTAGGAAAGTAAATGTGCCAAAGCTCCAGGCTATGCAGGTGACAATATGTGGGAGGAGGAGTAGAATCAGTATTTTGGACAATGTTTTATTTCTTAGGAAAGGTGGATTTTTTTTCTTACTGAAATAAAATTGTATACAAATAATATAAAAATAGGAAGACTTGTGTATATCCTATGCCAGAAAAAAAAGTACAAAACAGCACATTGAATTCACTTTGTGCAAGGATCAGAATCGATTCTGAGACACTTACTGTTTAAATTAATGTGTATAATTGATTTATCCTCTGTGTAATTTTAGCAAGATGCAATTGTACATAACACTAATGGTTTGTCATTCAAAATTGGATTTGGTAAGTCTGGTTCTCAGGTTTTCAGCTGATTCTTTCTGATTGCACTTTTTGCATTCATCACTCTCTGAGCTTTTTAGGATTCACAAAAAGCTGAAATGCTAAGCCCATGCAAAACCACCTCCCCTACAAAGCTTCTGTATGTTGGCAGTGGTTTTGTGAATAACTAGCTCAAAGCTTCTGATCAGTCTCGGGTTTCAGACATGAATCCAGCACTGCAAAATTTGAAGATAATGACATCTTAAATTATATGGCAAAAGATTCTAGAGATCTCATTTGATATCACTGCGCAAATGTGCTGAGCATATCACTTACAGGAATAAGCAGTAATGCCAAAAGACTGTGCAGTGTGAAACAAGGCAGAAAAAAGGAAGCAGCTCCTCTTTACTGAGGCACAGAGACTGAATGAACCAGAGTTTTAGAGAGCCTGAGACAGATCCAAGAGTGGACCCCTGTTCTCTGGAGACTCAGAGGGCTTGACTGGAGGACTGTTCTTCCTCACTTGTGGACAGCAGTTTGTAAAAGGTCAGAAGTATCAACAGAAAACTACATGAAGACTACCTCCTTTAAATTACCCCCCCCTTCAAAAGTCAGAGATTATTCCAATGAGGAGCTGGGGAATTTACATTACTGCAGAGAGAGAGGGCACTAGATTTGAGGGAAGACTAGTATATACACACAGGCAATGACATAAAAACACCTCCCAGCAACAGTCATTCTAGAACAATGCTTGTTCCAACAAAGTATATGAGAAAATACTTACAAGCCAAAAAAGAAAAGGAGAGCATTTGAAGAGGTAAAGAAACAAAATAGTTGAATCAGAGGGATCAAGTAAAGACATATTGCTGACCTTGCATCTTACTAGACAGGCACAATTTATTTTGAGTCTTCTCACCCTGTGGGGGATCCCTACTGAAATTCCAAGTATTGGAATGTTGTTTGTTGGTTGTTGTTTTTCTGGCAGCAAAGTCTTCATTCCAATACCTACTCTAAACTAGATTAACAGCTGTGAATTCCATTTGTGGAACAGAGGAA